AGTACTAGGTTATAACTAAAGTCCACTACAGTGCCAAATAATGGCAACTTTTACAAACACAATCTCTTTGCTACTGATCACCGAACACTGCATAGTGGAGCCATAAATAACGTGGATACAAGGTTAACAAAATTACGTACAATAGTTACGTCATTTTTATTTAGCTGCCTACGTAACAAGTTATTGTGTCAACAACCGGGCCGGTACTGAGGAGTAAATATATTTTATAAATTTTGGCAGGTAAAGTCATCATGATACATAATGTTATTTACATTTGTCGTGCAAACCACACCTTTTAGAAGTAATTTCACCACGAAAGGTGACAGGGGCGGGGCTTAAGTTGCGCGACTTGTAGTTTGGCTAGCAGTGGCGTAACATCGATGTATTGAGAAGGGAGGCTCTGCTGATATTTATTTATATTTCTCTTAGAGACAATTAAAAAAAAGAACATGTACAAAAAAAAGAGACAACCATATAAAAAAATAAATTTGTTTGATAAAAAATCGATGAAACATAAAAATATTGTCAGATATTGACATGAAAATCGTAGAACATTTGGCGATTGATTTTCTCAAAATCTTCGTCTAATTAGTGACTTTCGGTACAGGTTTTGTTTTCGTCAGTGTAGAGAAGCTTGATTTTTCCTCAGATTTGGCTTTTCCTTGCTTTTTGGCCATGCTGTAGTTCCCTCTTCAGCTTCTTATTTCATGAAGTGTATGATCCTTGGTATTATTTCTCTAGTTTGAGAAACCTTTTCCAGTTTTAACAAATCTTTAAATTCGCTGTCTATAACGTCAACGCTAATAAAATAGAAAATTGATATTCTTATTAACGCCTACAATATTTTAATATTTCAAAGTAAAAATATTTTGAATACCCCTCGGATTACACCCAGCATGTTTTTAAATTTTCTTTGCCGCTGCCACTGCTTTCACGATATTTGTAAGAACAAAGCAAAACTGTGTTCTACGCACTCCCACCTGCTGTACCTTTCGTGGTGAAACCTACTCTCCTGTACTATAAATGAGAAAATATTGAATTTATACGTATAGAACTAAAAAAAAAAAGTGACAATCCAAAATATATTTATTTTACAAAATCCTGAAAGGTTGAAAATTAAATAATCGCTGATCCGTATCAGTTTAAAACCTTGACAGAGCACAACTCAATTATTCTAAAGTGTTATAGGTAAATTTGATACTTCTTCAACGTTAAATAAATAAATGTGTAAAATAACAAGTTATAATCACAAAAAATATTGCAAAATAATTCATATTCAATAACAACCAGCGATTTTGGTACTTAGAAAAATGTGTATACATATAAAACGATGTTCATCACTATTTGAACTAACGACAGGCTTTTCATACTTTAGTGTGGCAACCAATTTGCTGTTACAGGTGACTGTCAAAGCTTTGGAAGTTGCCGGGAGTTCCTGTCACTAAACGACTCTTTGCTTTCCAGACATTCTACAAAATCAAACATCAAAATTAGTCCGACAATAACATCTATGTTTTGCTCTTACCTCAAACGAGAACCCCACAGCTCCCCTTTTTGCAGCAAGTTTTTCAACTTCTAGAGAGATACTTTCTTGAATGGTTCCTTTTACGTCAATGAAGTAGCAATTACTGTCAGCGTAATGGACACAAATTGCTTTTCTAAATCCCTATATAAACTTTTAAAAAATTTAGTCAGTAGAAATGCAAAAATCATACTTTTGTGTAGTTTGGTCCTGACCCATGTAAAAGAGTAGGATGGAAAAACACTGTATCACCTTTTTCCATTACCACATTGACCTTTGGTAGATGATCCAAGCCGTGCACTCCATGGTAAAATTTGTTTTTATAACCCTGATGACGTGGTTTTTAATTAGATGTCAAGAAACCAGTTTTACAAAGCAAAAAAACGGAATGCTAGACAACTCGATGGGATGGGCTGTACTGATGAGATCCAACAAGATCGAAACTGCAGTCTACAGCTTCCCAACGGGTTGTCTAGCTTTCGGTGTGTTTAAACACTTTGCAAAAAAAATTAATACCTCAGGATAAGAATGGGGGTATAATTGTCCCTTGTGACTTCCTGGAATTACATATAGACAACCATTTTTTTCGTCAACTCTTTCCATTGCAGTCCATGAAGTAGCTATTCTGTCTGCAGGTCGAAATGGGAAATAGTAGAGATCCTGAAAATATATTTGCGTATTCCTTTATGTAATCAAAATAGAATCAAAATAATTACTTGATGTAGCGGATGTAAAGAAGCCCCGGGATCAGAATCTGGTGGCTTGTTGATAAGCATGGAATTTACTGCGGTAATGTTTGGGCCTGTTATGCTAGAAATAACATCTGTTACCGACTTGTCTATGGCGTACTTGAATAGTACCTCATCAAACAGCCAGTCTTGTATCTTAAAATAGTACAATATAAGATTTAAAAAATAATACAAGTACAAAGGTACCTTATTTATCAAGTATTCACCCTTCACGCCTTTATTTTTCAAAGAGAGATCCTTCATCACTGTCATAAAACCAGGGTCAACTTTACCATCACAAATATCAATAAACCTTTGTCTAAAAACGATTTTTATTACTTTTTTAATTTTCAGGGGTAAACTAATACCTAGTACCGAATTTCATCAAGCAAAGCATGATTAACGTTATTTCTTATGATGATGTATCCATTATCTTCATAGAATTGTCTTTGTTCTTCTGTCAACACACCTCCCGCATGTGTGTACTTAAATCTGTCAAAATATTTATTAATCAGGTACCAAGTAAAGACAAACATAAGTAAATAACTTACCTGGTCATATTGATAAAGTTACTGACTGATTAACAATATAGCTCCAGAATGGTGAGTATCAATAGTCTGTAACAACTACTTGTGTTCACTCTTTTATATCACGCAAATAAAAAATGTATTGCGTCACGCGGTCATAATCTGTGGTATATCGGACCGCTTATGTTGGTTGTTTTACTTACAAACATCGAATAACAACTATTATTCAGCACATTCATTAATCTATGTTGACAAACTGATGGATCATATTAATAATTCAAGTACACTCTCAATGAGTAGGTGCTAGGTTATAACTAAAGTCCACTACAGTGCCAAATAATGGCAACTTTTACAAATACAATCTCTTTGCTAATGGCATTGATTAAATACATACAGGTAGACCCATGCTATTGTCTGGAGCGAACAGGCCAAAGGCCGGCGAACAAGAGATGGTGCACCAACATTTGGGCGTCAATCGCCGGCGAATAGCTTGGACCCCAATCGCGTGCATATGCAACCCACATAACAACATCAATACAGATGGTAAATCTGCCACTCGATAGAGGGCGACGAAAAAAATGTGTAAAAATGTCATAGTAAAGCGGGATTTATAAACTCATTCGCAACAGCAATAGTTGCTGCTGCAGTTGTGGTAACTGTATCCGCAACAGTAGGAGAGTGCCTTGTAATTTATAAAAATTCTTTTGTCAACTTTATTGGGGACCAATGTCAAACATTTCTTATAACCTCAATTATGTTCGTACACTTTTGTTGTTGTTTGTGTGGCGTCCACTTAGTTTTTTATTCAACTCATACATCATAATACAGCATTAACAAACCTTTGAATTCATTTTCTATAATGTCAACGCTAATAAAATAGAAAATTGATATTTTTATTAACACCAATAATATTTTGATATTTCAAAGTCGAAATATTTATCGCTGCTGCCACTGTTTTCACGATATTTGTAAGGCCAAACCAAAACAATGTTCTGCGCACTCTCACCAGCTGTACCCTTTCGTGATGAAACCTGCGAAGTAATTTCACCATGAAAGGTGACAGGGGCGGGGCTTAAGTTGCGCGACTTGTAGTTTGGCTAGCAGTGGCGTAACATGGATGTATTGAGAAGGGAGGCTCTGCTGATATTTATTTATATTCCTCTTTGAGACAATTGAAAAAAAGAACATGTACAAAAAAAAGAGACAACCATATAAAAAGATAAATTTGATAAAAAATCGATGAAAAATAAAAATATTATCAGATATTGACGTGAAAATCGTAGAACATTTGGCGAATGATTTTCTCAAAATTTTCGTCCAATTAGTGACTTTCGGTACAAGTTTTGTTTTTGTCAATGTAGAGAGGCTTGATTTTTCCTCAGATTTGACTTTTCCTTGCTCTTTGGCCATGCTGTAGTTCCCTCTTCAGCTTCTTATTTCATGAAGTGCAAGATCCCTGCTATTATTTCTCTAGTTTGAGAAGCAAACCTTTAGGCCTGTTTTTGAAGTAAACATTTTCACTTGATTTAAAATCCAAAAAAGGCAGTAACGCACTGTAAATTGACGGATTTTTTTTTCAAAACACTTCTTATTTTGTAATACAACACTTTATATTTACCAAAAAAAAAGAACATAAGTAAAATGGTCTTGAAAAAGACAGATTTCTTACAAACGAACTTCCAAAACACAAACGACCAACAAAGCAAAAACACAACGAAACACGGGAAAGCAGTCAACAAGCACGAGGCATAGAAAGATAAATGTAGACAAGAAGTAAAAGACGAGACGAGGCAAGAAAAGGAAAAGACGGGCAATGAGACGTTAACTTATTTGAACAGTTTCTTTTATTTTCAATAGGATTTCTATTTCTTACGTGATTTTGACTTTGTTGGTGTTTTCTGTTTTAAACAACAATTTTATTCATTTCATATCATAATACGGCATTAATAAATCTTTAAATTGGCGTTCTATAACGTCAACGCTAAGAAAATAGAAAACTGATATTCTTACTAACGCCAACAATATTTTAATATTTCAAAGTAAAAATATTTTGAATACGCTTCGGATTACACCCAGCATGTTTTTAAATTTTCATCGCCGCTGCCACCGCTTTCACGATTTTTACAAGACCTAACCAAAACTGTGTTATGCGCACTCCCACCTGCTCTCCGGTGCTATAAATGAAAAAATATTGAATTTATAGGTATTGAATAAAAAAACGTGACAATCCAAACCACATTTATTTTACAAAATCCTAAAAGTTTTTTTTAAACTGTAATCACGATCTTTGGAATCTCTTTAGTTGAAAATAAATAATCGCTCATCCTTATCAGTTTAAAATCTTGGCAGAGCACAACTCAATTATCCTAAAGTGTTATAGGCAAATTTGTTACTTCTTCAACGTTAAATAAATAAATGTGTAAAATAACAACTACCAATCACAAAAAATATTGCAAAATAATTCATATTCAATAACAACCAGCGGTTTTGGTATTTAGAAAAATGTATATACATGTATAACGATGTTCATCAATATTTCAACAAACGACAGGCTACACCATAGTTTAGTGTGGCAACGAATTTGCTGTTACAGGTGACTGTCAAAGTTTTGGAAGTTGCCAGGAGTTCCTGTCACTAAACGACTCTTTGTTTTCCAGACATTCTACAAAATCAAAGATCAACTTTAGTCCAACAATATCTACGTTTTGGGGTTACCTCAAACGAGATCCCCGCGACTCCCCTTTTTGCAGCAATTTTTTCAACTTCTTGAGAGATATTTTCTTGAGTGGTTCCTTTTACGTCAATGAAGTAGCAATTACTGTCAGCGTAATGGACAGAAATTGCTTTTCTAAATCCCTATATAAACTTTTAAAAAGTGTAGCCAGTAGAAATGCAAAAATCATACTTTTGTGTAGTTTGGTCCTGACCCATGTAAAAGAATAGGATGGAAAAACACTGTATCACCTTTTTCCATTACCACATTGACCTTTGGTAGATGATCCAAGCCGTACACACCATGGTATAATTGGTTTTTATAACCCTGGTGACGTTGTTTTTAATTAGATGTCAAGAAACCAGTTTTATAAGGTAAAAAAATTAATACCTTAGGATAAGAATGGGGATATAATTGTCCCTTGTGACTTCCTGGAATTACATATAGACAACCATTTTTTTCGTCAACTCTTTCCATTGCAGTCCATGAAGCAGCTATTTTGCCTGCAGGTCGAAATGGGAAATAGTGGAGATCCTGAAAATATATTTCAGTATTTCTAAATGTAATCAAAATAGAATCAGAATAATTACTTGATGTAGCGGATGTAAAGAAGCGCCGGGATCAGAATCTGGTGGCTTGTTGATAAGCATGGAATTTGCTGCGGTAATGTTTGGGCCTATTATGCTAGAAATAATATCTATTACCGGCTTGTCTATGGCGTACTTGAATAGTACCTCATCATACAGCCAGTCTTGTATCTTAAAATAGTACAACATAAGATTTAAAAAATAATACAAGTACAAAGGTACCTTATTTATCAAGTATTCACCTTTTACGCCTTTATTTTTCAAAGAGGGATCCTTCATGACTGTCATAAAACCAGGGTCAACCTTACCATCACAAATATCAATAAACTTTTGTCTAAAAACGATTGTTATTACTTTTTTAATTTTCAAGGGCAAACTAGTATGTAGTACCGAACTTCATCAAGCAAACCATGATTAACGTTATTTCTTATGATGATGTATCCATTATCTTCATAGAATTGTCTTTGTTCTTCTGTCAACACACCACCCGCATGTGTGTACTTAAATCTGTCAATATATTTAGTAATCAGGTACCAAGGAAAGACAAATATAAGTAAATAACTTACCTGCTCATATTGAAAAAGTTACTGACTGACTAACAATAGACTTCCAAAATGGTGAGCAACAACAATGTCTAACAACTACTTGTGTTCACTCTTTTATATCACAGAAATAAAAAATGTATTGCGTCACGCGGTTATAATTTATGGTACATCGAACCACTTATGCTGGTTATTTTAATTACAAACATCGAATAACAATTATTATTTAGCACATTCATTAATATAATATGTTGACAAACTGATGGATAATATAAATAACTCAAGTATACTCTTAATTAGTAGGTACTAGGTTATAACTAAAGTCCATTACAGTGCCAAATAATTGCAACTTTTACAAACACAACCTCGTTCTTTCTGGGCACCAAACGACCAAACATTGCATAGTGGTTACTAGGTTATAAAAACTAGTAGTACAATAGCTGCTTCGTTATTACTTAACTGCGTACACGCATTCTTAATAAATTGTGCTTACCGTTAGTTTAATTATCTCACTGCAGTGCTTAACAAACACTATGTTTTAATGTTACCGATAGCATGAGCCAGTTACATTATTAATGAAACACGTAGAGTAAAAAGTAAAACGAAATTGGAGATAAGTTAAACTGATCGTTATATAGAAATGCACTTATACAGGGGAGTATAATAAGTTGCCTACTTTAAGTTGGTACCGATTTTTTCAAAGTCATTTAATAGATAAGGTTGCCACATTGGGATGCCATATTGATACGTCACAAGGGGCTCTCAAATGGCGCGAAAATTGCCCGTTTTAAATACTCGAGTAACGCACTAAAAACGGAAACTTTTAATCAAGTGACCGCTTCTACTTCGCAAATTTCAATCCTGTGTAAAGAACAATTTAATAAACCTCAAGAAAAATGTTTTGCTGCCAGTAGAACTTGAAAATAAAAAATGTGACACTATTAACTGATTTTTTTATGCAAAAAATCTGAAAATCTGCATTTACTGGTTTACTTTTTCCTTTCTAGTAATATATCAAAACATTTCATTTTAGCTTAGACACAAATAAATTTAATTTAAGGCAAAATAGGGTTACACGAGTCGCAGTACTAACACCAAACGTCAGAATTAGCGGTACAGATCGTACCAGAGATATGTAAAAGACTAGATACAGATATTTAATGTTCTCGTGGACATACGTTTAGACCCAAGATGTCACTGTACGTTTATATCTCCCTCTTTTTCTCTAGTACGTACAATGGTAACCCGATATCTGAAGGTCTCGCTCTGTACGGCGCAACCAATCAGTTGGCGCAACGTTTGTCGTTGATGGCCGTTCTTGTGTTTGTGCCGGTCCCTGTCAGACCACTCAGACTGTGGGTGGTTATGATTATTTATAATTGCCGCCATCAGAACGGGCCAATAACAAGACAACCACATTTTAGAATGTGATCGATGTAGCCTACACTTGGCAATCCATAGTACTGGTGCTGATATAGAAAAGGATAGGCGACACAAAGTATTGCTACTCTTAGATCATAGATGTTGGCCCTAGATCGGGAAAGCTATAACCGCATCTGTCTTTTACATATCTCTGGATCGTACAGATTAAAGGCATCAGCTGATCGGTCACACCAACTCAAAATTACAAGTTACTAAAAATTCCCAAGTAATACCAACCTCATTTTGACGTCACATGGGGCTGACACCTCTCCTCCCCCGTAAGCGATTTTGCCCACATACTCGTTTATGTGGTAACCTGTTCTCTATTAACTAACCTTGCGATTTTTTGAACAAGGCGGTACATGAATTTGCACAACTTCTGGAAAAACGAAAAAAGATGCCGAAAACAAGGGTCCATAGGACTTCTTGTTACAGATTCGGGGTATTTGTTCTACACTGCGATTTTCTTTAGTGTGTTAGAACTAAATTAAGTAGGAATTGCATTCCATCAACAAACCTCAAGTACTACATACTCAGCCTACACCATTCGAATAACGTTGACGCTATTAAAGGGAAATTCTTAATGCGATTTTAATCAGTAAATGTTGATTTACAACCTTTAAAAAACGGATTTAGTTAGTTATTCACCCTGGTTCCCAAATAGATGAAGAAACAACAGCTTATTACAGAATACTGAGTCAAAAATAATTTGACCTTTTGATGTCTAATTTGTTCAATATTTTTCGGACACAATATGTTTTGCTCAAATGAATATATCCTCTGGTGTAATCTGTTAATTGTAATTACAACAAGCAATTTTTATTTTAATTATTGGCAGAAATACCAGTAATTGCGAAAACGGTGAACTTTATCCTGAGCTACGTCGGTATTGTTTTGTTAACTTAATTAAATTTCCGAGTTATTTAGACTTCATTACCAAACTGTGATTTACAAAGAAACAATCGTCAGTATTTAAACTATTTTATATTGTTTTGTTTGTGGTATGTTCAATGAAGTAAATAAAGACTTTACAAAGTATTATAAATACCCACTTTATTATTAATGAAAGAAGTTTTTCAGTTACAATTTCTCATTATTCATATGTAATAAATTCGTATTTCATTTTAGTGGATACAAGTTTGGAAGAAAATTAATTACTTTGACTTTGATGTGCCGCTACCTATAGACATCCGCATACTAAAGAAGTTTATTATGGAAGGAAAAATTAAAAGTGCTGTCATCAATCTTTTATATTTTTCTGCTCCTAAATTAATTAATCACTCAGGAATTTGTTCGTAATTAGTTTCTTTATAGATCAGAATTCATCTTTAGCGAACCGATATTGATTTTTCTTTCAATTTTTTATTAGCAAACATCTGAAAAAAATCGCTTGAATTAATTTTTAATGTTTTCGGGAGATAAGCTGAAACCACAGTGAGTTGCGAATTTGAAATCGATAGGAAAGAGCTGTTCCCTGTAGGGACATACGCGGAAATTGAATTGAAATTTCTAGAGAGAACTTTTTTTGTTATTTCACGGTTAGGAAATGTTGCAGTAATAACGTCCTATTTCAATTAAACTTCGCCGAAAATAAATTTATGAATTCATAAATCAGTTTACTAAAATTTTAATATTTACTCAAGGCCTGGAAATTTAAGCTGACGGAGTTTGAATTATAAATTTCATTTCGGTTCTTAAGTGTGAGATTATAAATCCATCACAGAATGATTAATCCATATAAATATTTTGCAACATTTCTGATAAATTTTCCCACAAGGTAAACAAAAACTTATTAAAGTTTCAAGATTGTTTACTCTTTGCACTAACTACTACATCAATTTTAGGTTTTCTCTCTTCATATAGAGAACCTATCAATGATTATTACGCTGAAGTAGGGGTTTATTCTTGCCACACTTACCAAATCGCGTTTCATGTTAGTTTATAAAGAAAATGAATAAATCTTGAATGTTAATAGTCATTTTGCACAAAATAATACAAATAAAAGTAGAATGTTTTTGTAATTTGGTAACTTGTGACTTGTAATAAGTGGTTTATTTTGTCGAGGTATGAGCATTTGTTTCTGTTAAAGAAAAATGTTGAAAACATAAAAATATGGAAGCTCTTAACACTATCATCGCCTTTCTCGTTATCTTGACATATAAAGATGGTTTACGTTAGTGTGTTATTTTATCATCACTTTGTATAAATACATGTACCTACCACTGGAATGATACCAGCAGTTACGATTACTTTACTTTTATGACCATTACATGTCGTGGAAGGATAAATTGCAAGTACACGTGTCGATACCTGGCTTTATGTTATATGGGCCAACCACTATCGATATATCTATCCGCCTTTATAATTATTAGACTGATATGCAAACTGCCTTTGGCACTTGCACCTGTTCGTAAGTAATGATATATTGAATGATCCTTTACAAGTAATTTCTGGAATAACTTGTGAAGCACAGCATGTTAATGTACTATCGCTGTTTTTCATTTCACCTTATTTACTCCAAATCTGATTTCTTAAATTTCTAATAACAGGCCAAGCCATAAATTCCGTATTGATTATTTGGACCAGAAAGTTTATTGCTTCCATTATTTTTGACATAATTGAATTCCTGTAAAAGAGCGAGATGAAAGGAAATTCATAATTACTAAGTAAATAGAGATTTTGTAAATTTAAATTATGTAGAAATGGGTTGACGGAACTCGTTTGGAAAGTTAATTATGTAAGAAACAAAAAATGGGATGATGTGTGTGGAGCACATCAGTGGCAGGTTTAATAATTGAACTTGTAAGCTACACGTCAAGACATGAACGTAAATACTTATTTTCATGACAAGTTTGCCAAGATGTCAATATTATGATTATGTCGGTAGACAACTAGGAATTCCTAATAAATTATTCTCATATATATGTACATTTATGGTTCAGGGACTTTCTACGAATTCATTGAATAATTATCGTAATAATTTTCCTCTTTGAAAACTGTTTATTACATATTGTTGCTTTAGGATGGGTTTAAAGCTCTACAACAACAGTGGATTACGTGATTTAAGCTTTCCGAGTAAGAAAAACAATATATATACATGTATAAAGGATGAATAAACGCGTAATTTCACAATTAGTATTAAAGCGACCTGAATAATAAGTATTTCAAAATATGTACTTACTTCAAATTTTGACTTTGTAAAACAATAACTAGATATGTTAAAAAACCGTTTTTTCTTTTACATTTTTTTTTTGTTTTTTGGTGCTTTCTTTGTTGTTATAAAGATTTAACAGTTTAAATAAGCAGTTAAAATATACTTTTTTCCTAAATTGGCAAGTATTTGTTATTTACTAGAGTCAAGGTTTCCTTAAAATTCTCAAAATTTTAAAATTTACTCTATCCCCATGTTTGGGTTTAAACTTGATATGTCTGGACGACAGCGAATACTATCACAATTTCGAAATTCTGAATACAGATTGGAACCAAAAAATTTTTGTTGATATGTTTTATGGTACGGTTTTAGATTTATATTTTATGCTACAGTTGTCAGCATGCAATTGGTAATATTATTTATTAAAAAAAAAATATATAAAAAATAAATTTATTTGATTAATTACACTGGTCAACAGCTAAGCTCTAACTTTTATTATAGCAGCTAATTATTATTTAATTAACAATTTTAAATGATATTATAAACGGCTAAACCCAAACTTAGCTCTCATTTAAAAGTAATCTTCAATATTATCCTTTGAAAAATACAAAAATCGTACTATTAAGTAATAGGAAACTTTCTATAAGGTGTATTTTTTTGTGATCAAATTGCTACAAACTTCTTGGGAAACAATAATAAAACTACGTTTAGTAAATAAAAAACATGTTATCATCATATAAAAAATTTTAAATTAACATATTCTTAAAAGTGCATTTTATGTATTCGCATCTTGATTTTTTCCCCAAAAATTATGACGACATGAGTGACGGACATAGAGAACGCTTCCATCTGGGCATTTTGTGGATACAAAAACGTTACCAAGATCGATGGAACACCTAAATGCTCGCAGAATACTGCGGGACCATCAAGCGAGAGAGCTCCAATGAAATCTATAGGAGGCAA